AGGTCCTTCATCTTGAAGCGTTGGCTTGCATTGACATCCTAGCCAACAGATATACATGCAAGCCACTCATGTATTTATGGTCTCAATTAGTAGTGGCTAGCCACTGGGGACTAGGGTTGCAGGTTGTCTCAAAGTCACTGCCCAATAACTGATCACCATGTCCGTGGGACATCTAGTGATATACTCATCTCCATACAATCTCTCATATAAGATCATGTATACTCTAGCACTATACAAAGTGAGCATAATAAGTATACTACGCATATCTGGTTTAACCGGGTATTCTCCCGTCTAACACTCCCACTCAGTGACTTGAAGCAACTTGTGCTAAATTGCGGTCACCCATCTTAGCTCTACGGATTGCAAACTGACCAACTGGAAGTGCCTTAGGAGGTCTGCAATCATCTCATTTGTCCTGCAAAAACTCAACTTTGCTCTTTCCTGTTCAACCAGATCTGGAGTGAAAAGATACCTGGTCTCAATATGTTTTGTGCCTTTGTGATTTCCAGGATTCTGGACACAACTTATAGCAGCCGTACTGTCACACCAAATTTGAATAGGCTGCTTAGGCACAAATCCTAATTCGGTCAACAAGTGCCACAACCACTCGCTTTCCTTTGCTCCCTCACTCAATGCTACAAGCTCAGACTCTAAGGTTGATAGAGCAACACAATATTGTCTAGAGCTAGACCAAGAGATACATGCTCCAGCTAATAGAACCAAGTAGCCAGAGACTGATTTACGTTCTTTTTTGTTGACACGCGAAAGCTGCGTCCGTGTAGACCTCATACTGCACATCTCCTAAAGTCCCATCTAAATAGAGGCCGTATTCGGACGTCCCTTTCAAGTATCTCAGTACTCGAAGGGCTGCCTCCCAATGCGTCTTATTGTAGCAAGATAAAAACTTGCTAAGCTCTCTAACTGCATTAGCTATGTCGGGCCTCGTACCCCGGACTAAGTACTGCAGCGACCCAACAATACCACGATAATCGTAGGGTTGTTTCAAAATTTCATCTGGTTTCATATCACTTTCTGGAACCAGATTCAATCCAGTAACTTGTGGTGTTGACGCAACTCGGCAATCAATCATATTACAGTATACTTTTCTGAAAGATCACCAATATATTTCTTCTGTGATATTCCCATAGCTTTCTTTGATATGTCTTGAGTTACCTCCATTTTGAGGATGTAGCTTATTTCTCCAAGGTCCTTCATCTTGAAGCGTTGGCTTAGCTCCGTTTTGACCTCGATTATAAACTTAGTTGATTTTGACAAAATTGTTAAGTCATCCACATATACAACTATTATGACCACTTCGTCTCCCACTCTTTTGACGTAGAGACAATATTCTTTGGAACAACGGCGAAAGCCCATGCTCGTAAGAAACTCATGAAGCATTAACAAGTACCAAATACGTGGTGCTTGCTTTAACACATAGATGCTTTTCACCAGTTCGCATACTAAGTGCTCCTGTCCTTTCCGAATGAAGCCTGGTGCTTGACGCATGTAAAGCTTGTTTCCCGCGGGCATACAATGACCGTCAGAATGGTTCGCCAGTCGAAGATTCTTGGACTTCAACTTTCTTTTTATCCAATAACAATCATTACCCAGAATACAGTCAATTCATTGGCTGATGATTATATTCTCCCGTCCGCGCGCAATTATTTAAAATAATCCACCTCACATTCACTTGCAAATCAATGACCACCCTGTCAACGCTCCGCCTTCGCAGAAAGCGCGGGTATGAGATGGCTGTACGGCTACAAGTGCTCGAGCTCGTAGAGTCCTGCAACGTACACAACGTCTCTAAACTTCTTGACATCCCACGTCGCACCATTCGGTCGCGGATCGACCAAAAGGATGACATACTTGCCTTCGACGGCAACAAGAAGCGTATGAAGCTGAGCCCAGGCGGTCGCCCCGAAAGCTTCCCTGAACCGGTGGCCTGCTGGAGTTCATAAAGGAAATGAGAGTGCGCGAGCGAGCGCTAACATCCGCGCAGATGATCACCTGGATTAAGCGCTTTCAAACTGACTTTCTACGCACGTATCTTGCCGGGAAAGTACATGGCACCGGCTACCAAGGCATACTGCGTCTGCCTGAATGCTTCTGCGACCGTCATGGCATATCTCGTCGCAAAGCCGGTCGCGGCAAGTAGTCCTAGGCGGCCTTCATCGAGGTCCGAGACGAGTTCGCCGAAGCGTTCCACCGCTTGTACCGACAATACCGTGTACAATGTCGATGAGAAGGGCTTCTACTACGACATGCCGCCGCGATACATATGGGACGTACGTGGTGGTGGCGCGAAGATTTCGTCTGGAGAGTAGCACTCCATTGCGAATGACAGTCGTTCTCACGGCGCGGGTAGACGGCACCAAGCTCACCATGCTCTTTGTTATCCTTGGAGCCTCGGGCCGCCGCATACAAGATTGTCAATGAGGAACTGGGTACTCATTTCGTTGCCCTGCCGGCCAACGCAACGTCTGTCTGTCAGCCGTTAGATGTTGGCGTCATGGGGACGTTCAAGCGTTACCTTCGAGATGCCTGGCTTGCCGAGGATATCATCGAAAGCGATGATGGCGACGAGTTCGACACACTAATCGCGGCGACGAAGCGCTTGGCAATGATCAAGCGAGCGATATTGGCGTGGGACATGGTGAGTGCGGACACCATTCGCCAAAGCTTCGAGAAGGTAATCCCAAGCCAATGAATGATTTGTGTCTGAGCCATAAAATAATTGTGTTAATATAATGGTGATCTTGTTTTTAGTATTCAATTTTTTTGAGGAAATCGAAATTTTATTATTCGCGAAAAAGTTTGACACTGCCCGGGAATTGAACCCGGGCCCCTTCCTCTATCACTTTGATGCCGTCGCACTAAACCATTGCACCACCGCGTCAAACGCTATCTTTGTCCCCGTCCCATGCTATAGTTATTCCCGTCTCGTGCAACCTATTGAATTATGGCGCATGACGTGATATCCTGCACAAATCATTGATTCAAAGTCGAAATTGCAATGACGATAATCTCTATCATCCCATAACCTGCAATAAAATGGAATCTTCTCACTTGAGATGAATAAAATATGACGACCTGTCCTGATTCGCTGAAAACCGAGGCGTAGTTCGAACTACTGGACCCAATCACATCAAGCTATTCACAGTTCCGTCGAAGTTTAAAGTGGCTAACCATTCTGACGGCCATTGTATATCCATTAAGGAACGCCGTATGTACATCCATCTGATGTATTTCATAATCGAGAGTAACACCAATCGCAAGGACTAATCGAAGAGATTCGAAACGGGCGACAGGCGCATACACGTCGTCACAATCTACTCCAAATTCCTGGTGACAGCCTTGAGCTACCAGTCGGGCCTTATACCTTTCAATAGAGCCATTTGAGTGATACTTAACATTAAACACCCAATGGCATGGCAGTGCCTTACGTCCTAGAGGCAAGCCAACTAGTTTCCATGTACCATTATCCATCAGAGATGAATATTCAGTGTTCATTGCTTCAACCCATTTAACCTTATCAGGTGATAGGTATATATCACGCAGAGACCGTGGGATCGGGATACCAGTATTACCACTAATTCTCATACGTGCTGATGGGCGATGAAGTCCGGATTCGACTTGACCACATACATAATCGTCTAAATGACGAGGCCGCTTAGTTGACCGGCTAGGACGCTCTATATCCTCTTGTATACTAGTTTCATCGATGTTAGTAGATGAACTGTCACAGTGATCGTCGTGCATCTGTTTGTTTTGGACTCCCACTATCCAACGTGGATCTACCGCTCGAGTAGTACCCTCATTTTGTATAACCTTTATCTACCGCTCGAGTAGTACCCTCATTTTGTATAACCTTTCTCTTTTTATTTGCTCCCACAGTGTCCAGAATCTCCGAGCTATTGTCACCTTCATCGACTTCAGCTATCTCCCCTCCCCTCCCCTACATCCTCGATGGCAACAATTGCATCCTCGGGTAGCGAAGGTGGCATTTGCTCAAACGCCCTTTTCACTAAAATCGGTGTCTCATTGCACGAGATGTTCAAGTCTCAATACTGGAGACATATTCAGAATCGAATTGAACATCTCGTGCAATGAGAAACCGATTTGCATATATATCTAACAGGCGATATCCCTTGTATTCCTCCGAAATGCCAAGGAATCGGCATTTGACTGCCCGAGCAGCCAATTTCTTATCTTTCCTAACCTCGACCGGTATATGTGCGTAGCACACACTCCCCCAAATTCGAATGTTGTCCAAGTTAGGTAGTTCACCATAGGCAGCAGCAACCTCATAAGGTGTCCTATTGTTCAATCTAGCCATAGGAGTGCGGTTTTGAACATAGTTAAAGTACATCAATGCCTCTGGCCACCATTTTGCTGGTAGTTGGGCATCAAGTAAGGCACACCGGACCTTTGCCCACTTGGTTTGGAAGTCTCTTTCGGAACTTCCATTCTCTTCCTTATAATATAGGTTTGACCTTTGGTACTTAATACCCTTCGACTTATAGAATTCGATTAGTCCACCGTCCGATCTGACGCGCCGTACATGGCGGTCAAATTCCCTCTCAATTCCCAAAATGTGATCTTTCACATTTCTCAGAAAAACAAAGGCCCACCGAAATGATGAATTGTCATCAATGATGGTGCATGAGTACCGTATATCACTTGTTGTTCCGTATTGGCCCCATTGACGCACAGGACCACAAATGTCCATATGTAATGTACCTAATGTTTCGTGGGTTCTAGACCCTCGAGAATTCCTAAAGGACATCCTTTTGTGTTTCATTGCCACACAAGTATGGCAGAAGAATGGTAGTGTATTCAGCATATCCTTAGACACTTGTGGGATGCCTTTGACTTTGCCTTCCGACATCATTGTGACTAGAAGTCCTTTGCTGATATGACCGAGTCGAATGTGCCACTCTCTAAAAAGGGACACTAACGGGTCGAGACTGATCCTAATGGGTCGTGAAACTTTGTGCTTCACTATGTTGCATCTATGTTGGTGTTCACTGAGTGCAAAGCTTCTAACGTAGATACAAAGCATAGTGTGCCTTGGTAGAACACATACTTATACCTACCACAGGCACTCTCAATTACTTGTCCTCCATCCCTCTTGATCACATTCTCACTTAGTATGTTGGCTTGCGCTCCTGGAACGAGTGCTAAAGCTAAATCGACGAATTCCACTAGGGGTGTTGAACCACGCAACAACGGAACCAAGGTGAGAGCTGTGTAGCTTAGATCCTTGCCCAAACTTAAAAAAAAGACCTGCATTAGGATTTACCTTGTTAAACCAGGCTACACTGCCGGTTAGGTGGTGACCGCAACCACTGTCCAGTGCCCAATCACTATCAGATAAATTGCGATTAGCCAATAAAAACCCATAATTATCTCTCACCTTTTGATCCAATTGGACGCTGAGCTGCTTCATGGAACTGGACATTCCATCCACAGTGAGAATGTTGTTCACGGCAATGTCGCCAGCAGAACCAAGATCAAGAAAATCATTGCGATCTTCAACAACGTACTCTTGCACCCAATGATCCTCATTTGGGCCATTTAGGGCAGGTGTAGGTTGGCCGGTACCATACTCCACAATACCACAAGGGATTTTAGTACCACCCACCTTAGGCCTCTTTGAATTGGGCTTTTGGGTGATGTTAGACCTAAACTCCTTACGCTCAAAATCCTCCTTTCGTTTAGGGCATTCCGACTTCACGTGAGGCTGGCCACCGACATTGTACTGGCCAATACAGTAGAAGCACTGGCCAATACAGTAGAAGCACTGCCCGCGAACCGAAACGTCGTTTCCCACAGTGGGACCATTACCGTGCTTGCGCTTCTTGTCCCCCGATTGGACAAAATTCACAGCATGGTTACCCTTGGATTGGCCATACCCATGGTAGATGTTGTTTGATTGGCTACCCATGCCCATAACGACCTTCTTGGACTTTGTCCCAAAAATCCCAATGAGTTTTGCCTTCACGTCGACGAGGTTAAACCCCTTCTCATCCAATGAGATTTGAGCACCAAAGTACTCATTCGGCAAAACACCCAAAACCAATGCCACAATCAGATCCTCACTGATCATATCTCTACCCAAGTACTTCTGAGTGTGGACGTTGATAGTGTTTCGGGCAGACTTGAGGTCGCAAAATAAGACTTCCATGTTAGGAAAATCGTTATTCGCTGTCGAGATCAAATGGCCGACCAAGGTCTTAACCGTGTTGGCGTTCGACTCCCCATAACGCTTCTCGACGGCGGCCCAGAGTAGGTGCACAGACTGGTCTTCACCACAGGGGTCCTTGAATTGCTGGGTAAAGGCGTCAGGGAGGACCTTGCTGAGCAGAATTCTGATTTTTTGAACTTGCTCAGATCGATAGTGGGAGGAAGTACCACCGTTGCTCAGATTCGTTTGCGCCATGTACCACATGGGGCTCACCACAAAGCCAGTCTTCGAACTAGATCTTTGGCTCAGGTCGGCTCGTCAGATTAGCCAACCATAGGCCAACCTTCGCAGTGGTCAGTGCCTTGAGGTGCTGTACGAACTTCTGGGTCCACACGCGGATTCCTTTCTTGTTCCCGTTGAAGACCAAGAGTTGGATGTTGGGGTCCTTGGAGTTGGCAGCCATAGTAACGTACTTGAAATGTTGAGTAGCAGCGGTTGGGCAGCAGTAAGGGCTCAGTTTAGAGAAGAAACTGGAATGACCAAAGGGCCTGCAGAATCAACTCGGCACATCCTAGCCAACAGATATACATGCAAGCCACTCATGTATCTATGGTCTCAATTTGTGGATAGCCACTGGGGACTAGGGTTGCAGGTTGTCTCTAAGTCACTGCCCAATCACTGATCACCATGTCCGTGGGACATCTAGTGACATACTCATCTCCATAAAATCTCTCATATAAGATCATGTATAGTTTAGCACTATACAAAGTGAGCATAATAAGTATACTACACGTATCTGGTTTAACCGGATAATCTCCCGTCTAACACCTTGGCAACTATGACGGCACAGTCGCCAAGGAGCTTGGAATGGAGGACTTCAGAAACCGGCGGAAACCTATTTTGAGCCACCAAAATCATCCGGAATTATAATTCAAATGCGCCACAAATTTTGGTGAGGTCAGAAATGCGCCCCATCAAAATTTGCCATGGGTCTGGACTATTTGGTACGGATACTGTTGTAGTACGGATAAAGCAACTTGGTAGCAATAAGTGTGGTTGCACTTTCTGGACGACGACGACGATGCCAACGACGAGGCTCTTAGCAACCTCCGCTTGTTCAGAGCACGAATGTCTTTAAAGGAAAGACACTACCTCACCAGCAATGTCCTCGTACCGCCCAACGGGAGCCCATGGATAAAGAGTAGAGATTTGCGCCGGTTTCTGTGGACATTACATTAATATTAATCGTATTTTCGCCGGATAATTTTGAGCCGGCATCGGCTCAAAAT